ATTTAGTTTATATTACCGCAGAAAAAAAATCTTTATATTTTTTTTCGAGAAGTGTCTCCACAGTAGCTCACTATTTCTGCAATTATGAAACCTTTATAATTTGAATTGTTATAAATTGATTGAAATAAAACTATATTAAGGAACTGCGTACTATAAACGAATAAGAATTCCATAATATGTATGGTATTTACAAATTTGCGCCGTTTTATGATATTTTATAAACGATATAAATGAATATGTATATATGGGGATGTTGTATGTTTAATAACTGTTCGCACTTTGTTTATTAACACGATTTTGAAGTCTCTCGGGTAACTCAAAATGTACGGTGTATACATACATACTTACATATAAGCCTCTAAGACGTATGTTAAGGCTTTATGTGCCTCCAAAAAAGATTAGGGTTAGGTACAATTTTAATCATATTTGGAGTCGGTGGCAGTTAACCCTAGCCAGTGAACACCGATTCGGGGCTATTTATGTACAGATTCTTCATTTACATCTTAATTACACTTAAAGTCAAATTATTTTTTCGTGATAGTGCCATGCCAAGCTGAGCAGTCAATAGCAACTAAGATCTTTTAGACATGCATTGAACACAACAGAAGTAATGAAAAAAATCTTCCTCACTGAAAAAGTACTTTTTTAGTAGTTAACTGTATTAAAACACCTGTAAAGAAAGTCATTGAAAACTGTGGGAAACCTCCAGGCACCATGCTAGAACACTGAAAATGAACTTTAGCTTGAGAGCTATGAAAGGCTTTTTCTTTACTCAAATGCTCTTCCCGAGCTTTATTACCTACTATCACATTGTGTAGGGTGACCAAGCTATTTTCAAATTTCCCTGACTTTTAAAACTTCAAATTTTATATCATTTAAATGATTCGTCGTGATCTAAAGCCGAAAAGTCCCTGCAAAAGTATTAAATTGTATATTCAATTTATGGTGTATAGTTACATATACTTCAGGGTTCTGTACTTCAAAAAATGGAACTCTTGGATCACTTTTTTCTCCGTCCGTATGTTCATCTATAAAAAAGAAATCAGCAACACGTGGAGTACTAAGCTAAAATTAACATGAAATAGTTCTGTAATATCTTAGAACAATGAAATCAAACTGCCATGGCCCACGCAATCAAAAGATGGCCGGTGCTGGTCTGTTTATGCTGCATATGTTGATGCTCGCAAAGGAAAAAGAAATTTACTAATTGATTAGCTTCGAAACAGAACGTTAAATGCCTCTTGAGGTACACTACTTATACCAGACAAAAGCGAGTAACTGACCTGTATGAACCCTTAGTACGAGTTTGAGCTCACGAAAACTATCATAGTTTTCGTAATTGTGAATTATGTTTCTGTGTCCATTTTGGTGAAAAGTAACCAAATATATTTAAAATTTAAGAAGATAAAATGAAGAAGATAAAAAATATGATTATGATTAAAATGAAAGAAGATAAAAAATGTGATTTAATGATAGAATTTAAACACTGTTTATTTGTATTGAAACGAAATCAATAAAATCAGTACCCTTAGTACAAGTGCGAGCTCACGAAAACTATCACATTTTTCGTATTTGTAAAACTCGTACTAAGGGTACAGACCATTGATGATATATTTATTTTATATATTTTCACGCACAACAGTCATTAAATAAAACACAGTTTTAACGGGTTTACTCTTGAGAACGGAGCCTGTAAAGGATCCCAAACCTAGATATATGTATATACAAAACACATTCTTATCCCGCTAAAAGAGTGTTTTATTGTAACGATTGATGATATTGTTACACAATCGATATAACTTTGCAATACTGAAGACAGAAAGCATGTACTTCTTTTACTAACATTAATTTGACGATCTCCGTAGCCGAGTGGTTTGCACGCCGGGTTTCAAGGCGTCGCTTACTTGGGAGGTCCCGGGTTCGTATCCCAATGGGAGCAGGTATTTGTGTGTTGAATACGAGTATTTGTACTCCAGTCATGGATGTTTAATGTATATTTCTTTATACTTATATATGTATCAGTATATGTTTTCTAACCGTTACCCTAGTATCCCATAGCACAAGCCTAGTGCTTACTTTGAGGCTAGGCCAATTGGTGTGAGTGTTGAAAATATTTATTATTATTATTTATTTATTTAATATCCATTTCATCATGGTCGTCCTAAATGCACGCACCTAATGGAGTTACCCCAAAGGAACATCATTACACTAAGCACTCAGTAACAGCAACTACAATGTAGCACTTTCGCAGATTTGCGCGGAAACAATCACGGTCAAAATTCATTAGGTAGTCCTGTGCTCCATTGAATTCTGCTGAAAGCTTTATCATGTTACAGCTAAGTACGTGGGAAATAGTGAAACAAACTACAACCGTGTATCAGAATCCGAGTCAATAATTGAAAAGACTTCGTCTAAAAAGTGTTTTACATAATTGCATGATAGATGTAAGTTAGCATCAATATAAGTTAACAGTAAGTTAACTTCACAATATAATTCAACGTCAAACGCTCTAACTCTGCAAAAATCAAAAAAGTTGAGATAAATTTTCAATTTGTTTTATTTTTTTGCAAATTTCTTTGTTATTGTGATAGCTGCTCTTTTCTTTTTGAAGAAGAGTTTATGCTTTTAATTCAGTTCTACTATACGTAATGAAGGAGCTCGATGGCGTAAGTGGTTAGCGCGTTCGGCTGCGACCGTTGAAGTTAAGCAACTTTCGCAGTGGTCGGTCATTGGATGGGTGACCAAAAATTACTATCTCGAGTTCCTCCGTGCTTCGGAAGGCACGTTAAGCCGTTGGTCCCGGCTGCATTTGCAGTCGTTAGCACCCACCAATCCGCACTGGGCCCGCGTGGTGGGTCATGGCCCAATCTCCCTATTCCATCCATAGGGAAGGCCTGTGCCCCAGCAGTGGGGACATTAATAGGCTGGTGATGATGATGATGATACGTAATGAATGATAATGAAATTTGAAATAATCATAAACACCGTATTATAAGAAACAGTTAATAAGTGCTATTCTATGAAATGTTCACGGTTTCTATATAAATCCGCGCGGATCCACATCAGGTCGATTTCGACAGCACTGCTGAGCGACCGTCCGTCTGTCAAGACCGGTTTTCTCAGGAACGTGTGGAGTTATCAAATTGAAATTCATATATAATACTCAGGTCTCTTGGAGCTGTGAAGAAATCAAATTTCTAAGCCAAAGCAATCAAATGATACAGCCGTTTATGCCGCAAATTTTCGAAACTCGCACGGGAATCAAATTCTACAGGGTAAATTTGGTACGAAGTAACGTCTTATAGTACAGATAAAGGAAAAATTGCGAAATCCGTAAATTTTTAGTTACATCATATAATAAAAAATATTTTTGAAAATTCAGGTTTGCACGGAACCCTCGGTGCGCGCACATGGCAGGTTTTTTAGACTATGATTCACTTAACGCTATCCATTTCTGAATATTTAATTGCCCAGGGGTTTGTTACACACCCCAATGTACGTTTCTAAAGTCATAACTTATTTATTTACGTTTGGATACTGTTATACCAGATAGCATCTTATACGCGTATAACATTTACAATACAGTCATAAGCCGTGCTCTACACCCTTAGCACGAACAAATATCGAATTCGTATCGTTTGCGAATCCGAAATGTCATTGTCAAATGTGTACTGATTTTTAGTTTTCGTTACGTACTTTGTGCCGCTGCTGTTCAAGTTTCCATACAAAAATGTGACATTGACATTTCGGTTTGCAAACTATTTGAATTCGATAATGGTTCGTGCTAGGGGTGCAGCTGTATATGGTTATAGAGAGGTGACTCAACCCCCCTTAGTACCTAATAAACGAAGACTACGCTTGGAATAGTAACTCCATGTTTTGTCTTTGTCTATTGAATGACAAATGGCATTTGAGTGACATAAACAAAACCTTAGCTTTTTCCATGTTTATTAATAAGGGGATGTGTGTTTCTTGTATAATGTATAAATATGTTTTTTAAACATATGGCGGAGGAGTGTTATTATAACACTCATACTAAATCATGACAAATAAACATGACGTCATACTTTTTCGTGCATGCAGTCGGTGTTTATCGATTTATAAGACGTTATCACGTCAAAAGGTCAATATAAATGCATTTTTAATTCACTTCATAAATAATATTTGTTCCTAAAATAGCGGATCTATCATCAAAATTGAATCACCAAAAACTATTAAATCGCTTGTACACCATGAATTTTGAGTTACCGGGGAAAATCAAGAATCGAGTAAATATTAAAATAGTGCGAACTGTGATAACAGTAAACGTAAACTAAAAAACAGATTTTGCGTGATTCTCGTATTTTATTTCATACTAGTGGCCCGCCCTCGCTTCGCTTCGGTGTAGAGCTGTAGTGTAAACTATACTTTTTGTTCTCAGGCTTGTGCTATAAAGAATGACTTTATTTATATAATTACACGTGTTATTGTGAGTCAACCATAAAAGATAGACATATGCTGTTGCGGGATATTTTTTAGACAATTTTATCCTTACACGCCTGAATAGCTCGCAGATTGCAGAATTTTTTCAGATTTAAATGACATTTATCGTTATATTTTGGACAATTCACACAATATCTTTATAAATTATAGCCTATGTGTTATTCTGATCTATAAGCTACATTACTGTAAAGTTTCATTAAAATCCGTTTAGTAGTTTTTGCGTGAAAGAGGAACAAACATCCATCCATCCAAACAAACTTTCGCCTTTATAATATTAGTAAGGATAAGTACTTATATAATTTATTTGTGTTACTACACACCCTACACGACCGTTAATATATTACAGTTTTTAGGCGCACTTAATCAAGGGTTACGTATATTGAATTTATTTTTCTCTTTCTCTAATGATTGCTTACGATTGTTAGTTTAGTTTAAATGTAAAGATCAATTAAGAATTAAAAGGAACTTGTTACAAACTTGAGACTTCGTAATTTTGAGTAAAGCGAATATAATTTAAGCCAGCGCTTTAAAAGATTATACTTGCCCAATCGTAATAGAAGAGGAACACAAAAGGTTTTTGTTGATTTTGGACCCTTCAAATGGATGAATTCAACATTCACAAGGTCAAATATTTCTAGCCTCTTTATTAATAAATACAGATTTCACTTCAACATTTTAAAACTAACGGAAGCATAGTTCTACTACTTGTAAGAAGAACTGTTGTTCTTCCTTGCGTATATCTCTAATATGAAAGTCGATAACTGGTAACCGTTGCGTATTACTTATCACCGTTATGTCAGTATAAAGCCATTCAGTTTTAGGTGCACTTGCCTGTAATCAAATGAAATTACATTATTATAATTTTACCTATAAGTACAAGTAGTGTAAGTAGTGTAAGTCTACTAATTGGGGTGCCTGTCTGGGGAAGTAACCTGTATCTTACACAGTAAAATAACAGTATGTTTAGGTGGTGTTGTGTTTCTGTCCGTGAGTAAGGTTCCAAGGATTGCATAAATTCAATCGATTCAATAAAAAAAAAACATTCTCGCTCCGACCGCGGACCGTGCGCCACGTCGCACCGCCGCCTCCTTGCTCCGTGCGCCCCGCCGCACAGCTGCCTGCTTCGAGTCGACTCGACGCGCCTGCGCTCATTCGTGAGACCCAAGATTGGACCAGTGGATACCTAGCGGTGTTAACGAAACTGGTCGGCGTAGCCCCGGTACGTCTCGAGCTCTCCTGAGCTCGGAAACCGGAAGACCCGATCCCATTTGCACTTGGGCCTTCCCAAGGGTGACGGTTGTTCCCATATTCGCTAGGAATATCGGAACACATCTCTTACAGCTTCAACCGACCCCCTGCCGCGGGCAGGGGAGTCCATCGGTGTCGCATAGGGTGTTAGGACCTGTGGCTTCACGCCACAGTCAGGGCACACCTACACACACATCACACAACAACCTACACAGACCTACACACAAACACATCACAATGGACATTACACAACAGGTACTGTCCCTCTTCTCCGCCCTCGGCCTCACCCTGGATGAGGCCGCCATCAGGGAACTCGTCGCGAGAGCGCGCCCCATGCGCGACTCGCCCGCCAGCCCCTCCCCCGAACCCCCCCGCCCCGACACCCCCTGCCTCCCCGGGCCCTCGAGCGCGGGCAAGCGCCCCGCCTCGAGCCCGGTCTCGACGTGTGACTCCGACTCAACCATTGTGTCGGCGTCCGATGACTCCGTGTTCACCACTGTGGTGAGCAAGAAGAAGCGGCGCTCCAAGCGCCGCGCAGACACCGCGTCTCCAACGGCGCCCTCTGTCCCTCTCAGCCCTCTCACCCCTCTCACGGTCGCCCAACCGACCACCCAAACCCACCCAACACAGACACACAACACCACAAAACCACACACTAGGTGCACCGCCGCACCTATCAAGGCAAAGCCGCCACCGCCCGTCTTTCTGCGCGATAAGGCGCAATGGGCGAAGGTCGCGGACCTTTGCAAAACACACAACATTCATTACACACAGGCGTCGAACACTGGTCACGCCATCAAAATCACTACACCCACCATTGACACGTTCAGGAGCCTCACAAGGCTTCTGACCACAAACAAACTCCCCTATCACACTTACGCTCTCCCCGAAGAGCGCAAAGTCCGCGCGGTACTCAGAGGAGTCCCCTTCGAGCTCTCCAACGAGCTCATTCTGAACGACCTAACCGACCAAGGCTTCCCAGCCGAGGCAGTGCACAAGTTGCACAGCCGGACTGGGAAGCAATACCCGTTGGCTCTTGTCATTTTGACCTCGGTCCCGGCAGCTAGGGATATTTTCAAAGGTCCCATTACAGTCTGTGGCCTCGACAATATCAAAGTCGAGGCCCCACACCGGCGAGGCACCCCTGGGCAATGCCACAGGTGCCAATTATATGGCCACGCAGCAGCCAACTGCTCGGCGGCCCCGAGGTGCGTCAAGTGCCTCGTACCCCACCTCACCAAGGAGTGCACCCGCACTCGTGACGCACCCGGGGCACCCGCATGCGTGCTCTGTGGCCAAGAAGGCCACCCGGCCAATTACAGGGGTTGCCCGCGGGCCCCACGCCCCAGGCCCAACACTCACACTCACACACACACAAAGCCAACCACGGCGACAAAAATACACCCACCACCACCTAATAACACCACCACAAACTTCCCGGGGCTACCCAAGGCGGCCGCCCCTCGCAGCCCGGCGCCCCCGACAGCCTGGGGACCAGCCAGGGCCCGCCCAAAACCACACCCACCACAACACACCACACCAACAACACAAGCTAAGCCAGCCCAAGACGTCTCTCTGGCCGAGGACATGGCGCTTATTCGCTCCTCGCTCAAGAGGGTGAATATCGCCGAGATCCACACTCTCGCCGCGAAGCTCCGGCTAGCAAAGACACCCCTTGAAAAGGCTATAGCTATAGCCGAACACCCCGAACTCGTTGCCGCGTTCGATTAATTTTTCAATCATTATAACACTGGAAAATAACCAGACTCCAAACACAAACAAAAACACTATACACAAAACACGCGGTGATAACTCAAACAAACACCACTGTTGTTTAAATTATGACCGCGCAAAACACTAACATAACAATCACTCAACTAAACCCCGGGCGTACCAAGCCGAAAGGCGCTTCGCTTGTGTCATTTAATACGCGCAGCTTAAAGTCCAACCTTAACGAAATTAAATTATTTTTGCAAGATAGGGAACCCGACTTTCTGCTCCTTCAGGAGACTTGGCTCAAACCAACTCAAATGAAGGGGCTGTCGATCCCTAAGTATAAATTAATCCGGAACGACGGTGCCAACGCGCGCGGCGGCACCGCAATTTACTATAGACGCAATTTACACTGCACACCTATACCCACTCCCGCGCTCACAAACATGGAAGCCACCATCTGTAGGCTGGCGATGACAGGACACCAGTCCTTAATCATCGCCTCAGTCTACATTAGATCAGGTACACACCCTCACCGCGCAGACTTCGAAACACTCACTTCACTAGGTACATCAGTCATAATGTTCGGTGACTTTAACTCCAAACACACCGACTGGACATGCGAGACCACCACCACCTCTGGCCGCAGATTACTACACATCACCGAGGAGCTTGGCTATGATGTCATATGTCCCTACGCGCCCACCCACTACCCAGACAATGTACAAAACCGACCCGACGTCCTGGACTTCGCGATCCTTAAAAACGTGTCGCTTCGCCTCAGCTCGATCGAAACACTCGACGACCTGGGGTCAGATCACAGACCGGTGTCTCTAGTTCTAGGTCCCCAAGACCCACTAGACGCCCCCGCGCCCCCTAAGAGGCTATTCACCAACTGGGACGGATACCGCTCCGCTCTCGAGACCGCTTTAGACTCCCCCGAGTCCCCGTTCCCTAACTCACAGGACAGTCTCGACAGCACCGACAAGATTGACGAAACTATAGAGTCTTTAACTTTACTGGTGACCGAGAAGGCGAAGGAGAACTCGCGGGAGGTTGAGCTGCCAAAGCCCAAGCTCCCGCTGGCCATCCGGAACCTAATCCAAGCCAAAAACGCCGCTCTCCGGAGAGCCAAATTATACCCCACCCCCGAGTATAGGGCTACAGCTAATCGCCTTCAGCGACAAGTTAGGTCCCAATTAGCCGCTCTGAGACACTCCCGTTGGGAGGAACTCATGGCGAACATTACCCCATCCCATCTTGCGTACTATAGAATCGCGAAAGCGCTCCGTAGCGATGTCACCACTCACACCCCCCCGCTCACTCGCCCCGACGGCACCGTCGCCTTCGAAGACGACGAAAAATCTGAGTGTTTTGCAGACAGCATAGCGGCGCAATGCACGCCTAGTACTCAGGAAACTAACCCGCAACATATTCGCGGAGTGGAGGAGGAGGTCCGCCGGCGGGCCGCCCTTCCACTCATTGACAACCCCCTAGACCCCGTCACGACAGACGAACTCAGACAGACCATTAGAAACTTTAAGCAACGCAAGGCCCCGGGCGCCGACGGCATCTCTAACAAGGCGCTCAAGCACTTTCCCATCCAAATGCTAACCTTGCTTGCAATTCTCTTTAACGCATGTTTTGATCTGTGCTACTTCCCAGCCGCCTGGAAAGAAGCAATAGTGATAGGCATCCCCAAACCCGGAAAACCCGCGCACCTCCCCAGTAGCCATCGCCCTATTAGCCTCCTCAAGGCAATGGCGAAACTTTTCGAAAAAACCATACTGACCAGACTAAGAGAGCACCTCCTATCACCATCCGATCCTATTATCATTGACCACCAATTCGGCTTCAGAGCCAAACACTCCTGCCCCCAACAGATCCATCGCATAGTGGAGCACGCCCTAAGCGGCTTCCAACTTAATAAATATAAAACTATTGCAGTCTTCTTCGACGTCGCCAAAGCCTTCGACAAGGTTTGGCACGACGGATTAATCTTTAAATTATATCAATTAAAATTACCTGACCGCCTAGTTAGGTTAGTAGCCTCTTTTCTATCAAACCGCACCTTCCGCTATAGATACGAAGGTTCACTATCAACGCCCCGCCTACTACGAGCCGGTGTACCGCAGGGGTCCGCTCTCTCCCCCCTGCTATACACAGCGTACACCAATGACATCCCTCAGACCAAGGGTGTCGAGCTCGCTCTCTTCGCGGACGACACGGCCCTCTACTCTAGGGGAGCCAGTACCAATCAAATCATAGCCAAGCTCCAACCGGCAATCACAACACTTGGGAATTGGTTCCGCGATTGGAGAATCGACGTAAATCCGGACAAAAGTTCGGCCATTTGCTTCGATCCCAAGCGCCGCACCAAAACCATACAACACGGTGCGAGGTCTCTGCGAATGCAAGGCATAGCAATACCGTGGCACCGCACGGTCAAATACCTAGGGATCACACTAGACAAAAAACTCACCTTCCGTGCACACATCACACGCGTAGTCGCGAACGCGCGCTTTTATATGAGCCGCCTCCACCCGATGCTCGGTAAATACAGCAAAATGTCACTTCGTAACAAGCGAACGCTTTACAAAGTTTGCATACGCCCGGTCCTCACTTACGCGTCACCAGTGTTCGCACACGCGGACGAAGCGATTTTGAACAAACTTCAAGTGCTTCAAAATCGCTTCTGCCGCATAGCCACAGGGGCCCCGTGGTACGTCCGCAACGCGGACCTCCACAGGGACCTTCAACTCGACACAATTCAAACACACCTCACAGAGTGCTCGGAACGGTTCTTCAAAGCTGCAGAAGAGCACTCTAACACACTCATTAGATCGGCGTCGGGATACGCTCCACACACTCCATCTCGATTCAGGCCCCGCAGGCCCAAACACGCACTCACAGCCACACACAATAAACTCACGCGCGATCTCGCGGCCCTCTTGGCCGCTGAGGATCCAACACCCGCGATGAGTCCCCCCCGCCCCCCCGACACAGAGAGGTTCGATTCCTCTCAGTCCCCTCCCGTTTCAAGTGCACATCTGAGTGCACTTGTCCTCTAAGCGCATTTTGCGTTATTTTAAACTATGCACTAGTTTAAACTAACGCAGCGCCGCATCATCCCCCTCTCGGGGGGTGATCGCTTCAGATGAAGCTTGTAAGGCCCCTCTGGCCATAAGCATGAATAAAGGGTGTTTTTTAGTCAGTAGGAGTCTGACATAACCTTACAGCCGGCTGTAGGGTATCCATGAGGATTTCTCACCCTCTCCCCCGCCTGGGAGGAAACAAAAAAAAAAAAAAATAAATAAAAAAAAAATTACTGGGTTTCTCCGCTGAAGTGACAGTTGGAGGGACACAACGAGAAGAGGTGATGGTCTCGCCGGATGAAACTCAGTAGATATGCCCACCACCAGGTGGACTGATAATTTGATAAGAGTTGCGAAAAGTAAAGTAGGTCCAATCATTGTGGAGACCTCTGAGGAAAGCCCATTTAGCACTAGACATCGTATTGCTAATATCATAATGATTTGTACTGTAACAAATTTTCTTAGCCCACTTCATGTTAAGTGTAAGTGTAGTCCAATAGGGATGGTTTTTTTCTGCGTCTACAGCATAACATAGATACCTATATTTATTTTAAATGTCTGTGATGATTGATGATGAATGATTTCATGCATTGGTACAATTTTACTTAGAAGTGACATCACGAGCTCCCACTCCTAAACTTTGACACACTTTTGTCTTTGTAATATTTTCGTTGATTGGCAATAGAAAAAATAAGTTTATAATATTTTTTTTAATGTAACTGACAGTATAAATATACACTTCTGGACACATCTATTGGCCCACCTTGTATTTTCAGTTTCGTTTGATCCTAGCTAAAATTTTATATTAGGTCGAGCAAAAAGTTTTTATGCAGTTTTGAACCTGGCACATTCACAATTTCATTCAATAGTCTTTTTTTGAATTTCGAACACAGAATTTAAAGAAACAAAAGACAACAACTGAAAGGCAGGATCGATTCATCGTGACGACCAGCTTGAGAAATCGTCACCTTACCTCCATTGAGATACAAAAACAAATTCGCGACTTCCACGGAGTATCTGTGAACGCTCGAACTGTTCGGAGAAGGTTAAAAGAACGCGATATGGTACCACACAAGCCAGCTAATGGGTCCAAACTAACGCGAGCCCACCGAACAGCGCGCCTTCATTTCGCACGAGTCATTTAAATTGGACACAGCAAGATTGGAGCCGTATACCCTTTTCTGATGAGTCTAAAATTGTGTTACATGACAATGATGGAAGGAAGAAGGTCTACCGACGTAAGGGAGAGCATTTCGCACAATGCTGCTTTGAAGAGAGGGTTGCTTATGGCGGTGGCTCATGAACTGTCTGGGGCGGTATATCCGCGAGCGGCAAAACTCAACTTGAGGTTGTTACAGGACCACGGCTACCAACATTAAATGCTGAAAGGTACATTCGTGAGTGCTTAGAACCTCGCGTGATACCATATGCGGACTATGTGGGCCCATATTTCCTTTTTATGCATGATAATGCAAGAGCCCATGCGGCCGGCATCGTCAGGGAATATCTTCGGGATGTGAACATCACAGTGATGGACTGGCCAGCCAGAAGCCCAGACATAAACCCCATTGAGCACATGTGGGACGAGCTAATAAGACGTGTTAGGGCTCGTCACCCAGTTGCCCAGACGATGCAGGAGTTGAAAACTGCCATAGAAGAGGAATGGGAGATGATCCCTCAAATTTTCATAGAGCGGTTGATAAACTCTATGCCTAATCGTATGAGAGCTGTGGTAGATGCCCATGGAGGCAACACGCGTTATTAAATTAAACCTTTATTTGATAAAAAACGTTTTTTATTCAAAAATCAATTGCCTTTAACAAGGCGCATATCCGACTTGTTAGGCGTAGCTCCATGTCGTATGGTATTCTGAATTCAAATTTAAAACAATACGGTCGAAAATGATCGTAAAATGTATCAGGTTTAAAACTTCATCAACAGTTTTTGTTCAATCTAGCAATCATATTTCGGTAGGGGCCAGCGAAACCTAAACTCTAAGGTGGGCCAATAGATGTGTCCAGAAGTGTAATTTTGTTTAATTGATTAATGTTAAGATAGTGGATGCTATAGAAAAAGTGTGCCGCTCCAGGCATCCTCCCTTGCAGGTCTGAATCAAATCCCATGCCTTTAAACCGCTGTTACCTTATTCACCAATTGCAACATAGCACCACCAAAAAGTGGTTTTGATGTGGCCTTCAGTGAGGTGAAGGTTATTTCCTGAGATAAATATTGCCCCAAAAAAAAGGCTCTTAAAGAACTTTGAAAATCTTACCGTGCAATTATTTTTGTCAAACACCCAATATTTTATGGGGTTTATTTCAGTAGAATCAGGTCCTATGGGGACATCATTCCAAGAGTATAAATGTAATTCAGTTTCTGGCGTCTCCTTAATGTGAGAATTCTTACAGTGATACCTTATCGTTTGATTGACCTGTGTAGTTTTCTCTTGTAACCAAGCTATTTGTTTCATAGTAACCTGTGAATAAGATTTATTTTTGAAACTCCAGATTCTTTTTTTATTTATCCATGTGAATCATAAAAAATATTGGGATTATATTTTTCTAGGGATAAGCGCTGTTGACTGAGATACCCTAAATTGTTGTATAATCTTATTAAAATATTATGACGACGATATATATTTGTATATTATTATGACAAAAAGGTAAATTTTGTGATTGAAAAACAAAACTTCTTGATGCATCAATGGGATTTTAGTTATATGAAAACTATAGGGTTAATTCAAATATGAAGTCGATGCATAAAGGAGAATGGGCAAATTGGTCTACCTACTCAACACTAACGAGCCATGTATAAATGAAAAGGACATTTCTTATACTTTATTTTTTTATGACCGCAAATGTGTAGCTCTTTTAATGGGAACAGACTTTACTACTAATGGTCTATAGAGCGACAGGGTTTGGCGGGGGAGAGGGTAGAAAGTGGGTTGGCTTGAATTGCCGATGCAAATGCAGGTACAAAATTTGTTTGCAGCCCTTGCCACCACCCCCAGCCACTATATCAGACTTCTAAATGATATTGACAGTGCATTTAATAACTATTTGCATTTCATTGATTTTATTCAATGAATGGTATTCATTTTGGATCGCGGTTTCAGAGACGCTCTACCTGATATGCCACCCAATACGGAGAGAAACAGTACGCAGCTATCCACAGAGCAAGCGAATAAGTCTAGCTTGATTACCATTGGTAGTTGAGGTAGTAATCGGAAGGTTCAAACGTGACTAGTTTCTAAGAATTGATGACGTTAATCTGTCCGTTCATGTTTCAACATTTTCGGATTGCTGCAGCACTGATAATGCTTTCCACCTGCCAATCCGGGACAATGCTTATGCCGACGCAATAATTACAATCATAAATGAGAGGATTCTTTTTGAAAATCATTTGGCTCAATATGAGATGCAAAAAAACTTAAATATGTAGGCAACGTGTCGTGTTTAAAAGAATGGCAGCAAATCTTCCTGATTTTGAAGAACGACATTCCGCGAATTAAGAAGAACACCTGATTGTAATCGCCCCAGGAACTTATCATATTAAGATAGCAAAGTTTTTGCTGTGCCGAACAATTCAATGATGGAATATATATCATTGAATTATACCCAGACAAGAACTCGATGATATCAATGAATATAACATTAAAGTTGAAGAAAGAAGTTTCTTACTGAGAGGACGAATACAATCACGTCATTCAAGAGCCAAGCAATACTGCAGATACGTGTTAATATACAGCGGGATTGAAGAAAGAGATACTTTCAGGCACTATTATGGCACGTGTTTGACAGGACGTCGCGCAATTGGGACATGTGCACATGTTATCACGATATTGTGGTACTTATGCTGGGTGCGCCATCAGGAAGGTCTCATACCGCTGGGCTGCGCACCTTAATAATGTTATTTTAGACACTAGCATGATATAATACTGCCAACATAATATTATGTATTAATAAATGTTTTTTTTTATCTTTTGTTTTCTCTTTTTCAAAATATTCCCAGCTCCTAGCACTTTTACTCTATTTGTTATTGGTTCGCTAACACATTATTTTTATTTAGCATAGATGGCGTTAGTGTTGAGTAGGTAGACCAACGTTCATATATTTTTGCCCATTCTCCTTTTATATAATAAAATGTTTAATCTTAATTCTAATTAGAAAATTTTTACCTACTTATAGAAAATATTCTTCCCTTATGAAAGAAAAACACAAAAGGTGAAACAGGCGCTGCTATAATTTTGGAATCTAGTTTTAACCACTTTACATCAAATGAAATTTTAAAAAACTTACGTTATTATAAAATTGGGTCAGATTAAAATATCTTCTTTGTTTGCCTTCTTTTGTGGTTAAAGCTTCGCTCAGCCAGAATGGTGCAGTTTTATTACTTAAATTAAACGAATTGCTTTCTATTTCTTTTTCATCTTTAATTGGATTAAAAATAAGACAAGTCTGTGCAGTCTTCTCTATGCACTTCACTAGAAGTTTTTCTTTAGGATTAATCCAAATTACATCTGTGGAATAGAGGCATACAAATAATATATTGAATCAAAATTGGTTAAGGGCTATACAGGGCGTCCCACGGATACCTCACACGGAGGGAATCTATATAAAATATTGAAGATAGGATATTTTACTGAATCAAGACATCATTTTATTTTTAATAATAACTAGAACTGCATTCTCAGCCATACGCATTGTAACTGAATTCAAAAAGAAATTAATACATACTACGATTTGTATATCACTTTATTACTTTATCACGTCATAAGACATTCCTTTCATTTAAAATGCTATGTTATTCAGCAAAACATAATCCTTATGACTTACCCTTTCGATAGTGATCATAAAATATGTCGTGTTTTTTTTTCAAAATTTCACGAATTTGATTCCCAGTTGTAACAGGCGATTTTAAAAAAATCTGTGAATGCAGTTCTAGTTATAATTAAAAATAAAATGATGTCTTTTTTCAGTAAAATATCCTATCTTCAATATTTAATATACTTTCCCTCCATGTGTGGTAGCCGTGGGACGCCCTGTATATTGGGATTCACGGGATCTTCTGTTTTTGTACCTAAGGAAAAATCGAGAATTTTCAGGAGATCACCGCCACAAATAAGTAGTTATAATTATTTTTTTTAACAAAAAATAAAAACCGACTTAATAACAAAATGGAACTAAAAATAAAAATAAATTTGGTTCACACGAAATCTGGTGGGTCCTAGTATGATTTAAACACAGTACATACCGATTAGAAATGAATATCTATTTCATGTTTCTTCTATATAGGCTCCGCCCGACTTCCAAATCATACTAGGACCCGCCCGATTTCATGTGAATCGAATATTACATTTTATTATTATTATTATCCTATTCCTGCTCTTATGACTCCATTTCTCCACACAGTCCTATTCACCTCCTAACGGAATGTCCGTGATTTGCCTTCCAGCGCCACCCACATGTAGCTCGCTGCGGTAATTAAGTCCAGGACCATTCAACCTCACTACTCTAAATAACGTCCAAGACCATTCAGCCTTAGTCGACACAGTAGACTGGTTGAGTCCATGGTATGTTTTATCACTTATATAAATGACACCATTAAGGATATCAACGATTCTTCCCTTCCTGCATTCCTTTATTTCTCTTCATCAAACTCTACTACCTCTTCCACTCCTTCCACTAACCGTTAAGTGCCTGCTACACCAACTATATCCCCTGAACCACAGGCACGTTCTCCTATAGAATCTCCCTTCATCTCTTTCCTTTATAACGGTCACCAAGCAGTGACCCCGATAGTCCTGGCACACAGTGGCAGTCGTCTGAAGTTCCATAATAATTGTTTAGTACTTAATAATTTACTTAATTGTGTGTACATTAATTAATATTTAACTGTAACTGTAATTAAAAAATGTGACGTTTTTGCTGTTTTGGTATTTTAAAAAAATAATGTTTTGAGAAAAACCAGCAAGTTTACTATGAATTTCCATAGACTTTTCGGCCCGCTCAGCGCGTCAAAAAGGATTTCCATACACTTTTCCAGTGCGCTTAGTAATAAAACAGTAATGAGGTCCTTTCCACTTCATTTTTAAAACAAGAAAAAAGCATTATAGCTATTAACCGGATTGTTACCATGTACCTTGTTTTTTACGAGTCTCCGATATTGTCTACCGTTCCGAGTCGCGAAAAAAAGTTTTTCTGTATAAGTCACTGGTCACTTGTAATTATATCATACTCATAAAAAACAGGGTACATGGTAACAATCCCGTTAATAGCTATAATTTTAGTGACCATGAAAGTTTAAAACAAGAATAAAGCATTTTCTGAGCAGGTGTATAAAGAGTTTCCCAATTTTGTGCAGTCTTTCCAAAGTTATGTGGGTATATACATTTTGGCGATTCATTTTCTAGCCCTACGACTCACCTTTAAATTCGCCCTCGTAATTCTTGACATGGCAAGGGAAATCGGAGGGGCGGTTTTTCGTTCCAATCTCAAGCGTTCCTTCAGCGCCATGTTCGCTACTTTCTAAGGAAACCAAAAATGTATAATATAAGTTAATAATATGAGCCATAACAATACTCACATTATATCGAAAAAGGTGACAATTATTATTTACGTATTCGGAATCAAAAATATTAGGCAGAGCTTTTAAGTTTGTAAATTTGTTATACCCACGGGTTATACCATACCAAGCCACTCAGAAAGTTTTGCGAAAAAAAGATGCATGGATGGAAAATGGATTATTTGCATGGAATCCAAGCAGCTGTGAAGCCGATCGGCTGCGCTCGGACTTAGCTACAGCCGCTCGGTTCCGCATGAGCATGTATTAAATTTGTATTGGAAAAGTACCTGAAGTAATCGGTGGTTCACACTTTATGGGACATACTCCTGGTTCTCCGGGCGGGCCCTGTACAAAATAAGTATTAGTTAAATTATTAATTTCTTGCTCTTCACACTTTATAACATAGACTAACACGGAAGGGAGTATAGACATAGTGAAATAATAATAATAATATTTTTTTATTTTCTCATACCAAAATCTAAATAAGACTTACATGAAGCAAAATTACAATGTAGCAGACTGTGGTGGGCTGATAAAAAGGAAAATTCATGTATCCCAGGTTATCAACCCTCCACCCCCAACAATGGTCAGAAAACTTATTATAAAATGATACTATACAAAGCGTACTGTTATTTTTGGTTCGGGGGGAATATGCACACTAATGCAGTTTAACATGCATGCATATAATAAAAAACTGGAACTACGACTGAACACATAAACATAGACATAATACATCGTCAAATCCTGCGCACATGTATCGTTTGTATGCCCGATTTGTATGCCCAACTCTACAGAGGGGAAAGCTGTGTATGCATAATCTCCTCCTGGCTGCGTCGGCTGCGTTGGTCTATGATTTATAATGAACGACTAAAACTAAACTGGCCGCACACGCTACAGCTTACCGGAGAGGTCTGTTTGTGCAGATTTGCCTGTGCAGACAGACCGTGCAGGCCTGGTACCGTAATAGCTCGCGCAGACGAAGAACTTTAGTCTGCGGTATTTTTTAACACCAAAATAGATCGATTACAACTGCATCGAGTAACGCATGCGATGGATTAAATTTACAGTGTACAAAAGATCGCCCGAACAACCGAGGACACTGAGAGTCCGGAAAGAATAAAAGTAAGTGTCCCTGAAAGAAATACAACTCATGTGACGCAGCAACGCCCACTGCGAGCATCAGCCCGCGTTGCAAGCTCGATCTGATTTAAAGGAAAGGACCAAATATACGTTTTAAAAACATCTCCTCTTATTCTTAAACTTCGTGTTAATAACAATACAACGTAACCTGAACATATTTACTTCCTAGCGTGCCTTTCTAAATTTTCAGGAGACATCGTGATGTAAAACATCTTGTGCGTTGAGTTCATGACAAGTCCTCATCGGAAATTTTCTTCACGATTGAGGGACTTTTGTCCTCCGTGAATAAAAGTCCTTCGTATGCGCAGGCCATAATATACATGCTCTGGTTTGCCATCGCAAACAGATCTCTCAGGGAAACTGCAGCCTGTGAGGCCGACTTTACAAAAAAAAAACAGCAATTTATTGGCACCAACGAAAGTAGGAGCGTTTTTTAGGAACGTCTGCACATTCTAAATTAGGCTAAGTGCGTGTCGGGTGCCACACACAACGTAGGGTTTTGTAGTTTATATGATTTCATTAAGGTACAGTTCTCTGATATGGTTATATCACGTCTTTGATCGTACTGCAAACGAGGACAGCTGCCTACAGGCCCCAACAACGTGACTTGTGGCCAATACGATGACTCGCGCCGTCAGTCCCCGTTACACAAACTAGTTTCATTCTTCATTTCTTTCCTCTGTCTCTTCCTCTCTCTTCCTTCCTGTCTAAACAAATCTCTTTTTTCCAGGGAAGAAGAGAAAACCCACGTCTGTCATCTGTTCTATTTCTATCCCACCGCCTTCTGCTATGGTATACTTTTAGCCATGCAGAGGACGTTTGGTGGGTGGACTGCCGGCCACTCTTTAGTCCGGTCTGCCTGCTCAGTACAAATAAAAATAACTGCGAAAGCGAAACAGTTTAATTAAAAAATAAATAAATATACAGGATTTCGAAACTTATTTACTATAAAAGGGTTGGGTTTAGAAATAAGCTTCCTCGTTCTGGGAAAACTGACACCGTTGGAGGGTCAGGGGACTCCTGACATCGATTTTAGTTGCCAGAGAGGTACTTACGTATTTGTTTTTTTTTTTTGAGTGAAACGAAACGCATATAGTGAGAAGTAAAGTAAAACGATACGCAAAAAGTAATCGCAACAACGTGAAACGAAACGTTTCGGTTTCCGTGAATGTTCTCTGCTTCCTTTTGTGTGATTTCGACTGCTTGGATTGCATTACGACTCACTTTGGCTACGAATTTGGACACTGAACGTTTTTGATATGGCTTCGACATCTAAAATCCTGGACCCACAACCTGGGCCGTAGCTGCGTAGGTGAGCATGGACTGCCTGCGGTTTCTTACGCGGAGGGGCTGCACTCGCTTTTTAAAAGAAACCTTTTCTACAAAAAAGTTCGAGTAGCACCTCTTGGGCCCTGGAAGTACAGTTTTATCAGCCTTAGTCCTGTAGGTCACTTGATAGGTTAGATTTTATAAAAAAAATGCAAGTATGAACCATAAATTTAGTTTTTTTTTTATCAAAAAAAAAAGTTCGCCCTCGCCCTTTACCCCCCCTCACCGAAAACCCCTAACGAGGAAGTTAATTTCTAAACTTTTACCCTTTAAAAAAACCCGTAGAGAATGCAGGTACGTTTGTTATATTAACATATATTTCTCTTACTTGTTCTCCTTTCGGGCCCGGTACACCGTCTGTGCACTGAAAGGGAAAAAACACTGTAAACTTTGTAAAAAGGTTATTCACATTATAGTTATACATAGAAGACAGTTCTCTTAAAGATGTTCAGATATAAATATGTAAGTAAATCGGAATGAAGCAACGAAACCTTGTTCTTTGTTTTATCTTGTAACCACTACCTCGGCGTCGAATTAACCACGTTTATTCATTTGTTTTTTATTCCACAATTTCTATTTTTGATGTTATAGTAATATCATAGACCTAAGAATCGATTAAATACCGCGGATTGCTGATGCTTCATCCTAATTTGTTCGTTCATCTTTAGCATGTCGCATTACATTACCCCCTGAACAGCGCAAGCCCCACATCACAGTATTTTCCCAAGCACTGATTTTACCCCAGCAATGTTTGACACGTGATCACAATGTCATCAAAGATTTAAATCGTTAGATATACCCTGACACCGAAAACTGTGGCTATATTTTGCATTGACGTTATGATGATGGCCGTTTTGACACATAACAATAGTGACGTGAAAGTCAATTTGTTATCAAAAAATAAACTAATGCTATGATATCCGAGTCCTATCTTGATATATTTGTGGTATTTTATACAATATTACAAACAGTAGCTGATCAGAAGGATTTAAAAAAATGGGTGCGTGTACTTATGTAGGCGCGTGAGAAGTTATCCTTCTTTGGCATCGTTTAAAATTAGTTTTTAATTGCATGCAGATAATTAATACAATAAATTAATAAAAAGTCTGGAAAAGGACACAGTCAATAAAGTTCAGTTTTAATTTGAAAAAATAAATAAATAATCAAAATATTCAATTAAAATCGCTACTGAATATAATTTATTAGAACATATGTGATTTGCACTTGTATGAAACTCAAACACGTATTCCGAATATACAAACTAGAAACATGTGGATAAATATTATAAATATGAATACTGTTACTTTATTACAAAAAATAAAGATGTGGTTTTTGGTTCTACTACACCAATGGTCAAGAGATGGCGCTGTAGTCTCCTGAATCGCGATTTGGTTCCGTTGTTCCAGATTAATAAATACTTTTGATATTATAAATATGAATACCATTCCGTGTCCGATCGCCGGATTGTGCTCACGTACAGTCCGCCGTTCGCTCACGCTCAGTGCTCCCGCCTTTTCTAACGGTTGCACTCGCACGTTCGATTTTCGTTTGGGGTCGCATCAGTGCCGTTTTCACGGCGCCGGTCGCGGCTTTACACGCAAGTCGAGCCGATCGCGTTGGACCAGTTGATACCTAGCGGTGTTAACGAAGCTGGTCAGCGTAGCCCCGGTACGCTTCGGGCTCTCCTGATCCCGAGAAACCGGACGTCCCGATCCCATTGCACTTGGGAATAGCCCAAGGGTGACGGAAGGGCGGCTATCCATTAGGGATACCTGCCCGCACCTTTCCCCCCCTCTCCCCCCTGCCTAGGGCAGGGAGGTTTCCTTCCCAGTTCACTCATACGCACGTCACATCACTATTTCACACGTAGTTCACCATCATCCTTTAACCCCCGTCATTATGACCAAATCCACGAGGCAGGCTATTTATAGCTTCACCTTCTCATACTCTCGTTACTTTCACAAACTGCCTTCTACGCAGAGATCCCATTTGGCGACTCAACTCGCCCAAGAATTCCCTAATTTAGACCCAAACATTAGTTCGTCCAATATCAAAAATCCGATTGATCCCATTTACAAAGTCCTTATTAAGCGCATACAGGAGCTTGACTCCCAATTCGATTCCCAATCCGCTCGGTCCTCCCAGCCTGTCCTGCCCCCCACTCAGTCCGATTCCCCAGCTAGTCCCGATCCCTCCATCCCCTCCGGGAAGAGGTCCGCCTCCCAGCGTTCCTCTCCTTCCCAGTCCTCCGGCTCCCCGTCCGAAGTAGATACACTGATGTCTACGGCGGACGTGGGCCCAAACTCTCCCTCTTCGTTCGTAACCGTGGAGGGGCGGAAGAAGAAACGCCGCAATAAGCGACGCTCTCCGTCCGCCTCCTCCATGGAAACACTCACGTCCCGAGGCCATTCCCCTCACTCTCGTCCCGTTTCCCCCCGCACCCCTGTGGCCGTCGCCCCGCGCCCGGTGTCCCCCGCGACCCCCCCAGCCCCGACGGCTAGCCCGCCCCGCGCCCCCGCGTCCGTGTCCGTTAAACCGCCCCCAGTGTTCCTCAGAGACAAATCTCTTTGGCTATCGGTGGCCAACTCTTGCAAAATCAAAAACATCAACTACACTCAAGCCTCTAATGTGGGCGATTCAATTAAAATCTGCACTCCCGATATCATCGCGTTCCGCAGCTTAATTAAGCTTCTCTCAGATTCAAAAATTCCATACCACACGTTCGCTCTCCCGGAAGAGCGAAAGGTTAGGGCCGTTTTGCGCGGCGTTCCTTACGAACTCTCCAACGAGGACATCCTTAATGACCTCGTTAGTCAGTCATTCCCCGTCCTGTCCGTGCATAAAATGCACAACCGCTTGGGCAAGCGCTTCCCGCTCGCCCTCGTCATTCTCTCGTCCTCCCCGTCCGCTCGTGACATTTTTAAGTCCGAGCTAACAGTTTGCGGCCTCTCAAAGGTCACTGTCGAGCCACCCAACCCCCGCGGTATTCCTGGCCAGTGTCATCGCTGCCAGCAATACGGTCACGCCGCCGCGAATTGCGCTGCCCCTCACAGGTGCGTTAAGTGCCTAGACCCCCATCCGACGCACGAATGCTCACGTACTCGCGACTCCCCAACCCCCCCCGCTTGCGTCCTCTGTGGCCAATCGGGCCACACAGCCAATTTCAAAGGCTGTCCTAAAGCCCCGCGCCCGCGTCCCATCACAAAGCCCGCTAACGGGCCCACTCGTCCGCCCCGCCCCTCGCGATCCACGCCACAGGCGAATACGAACGTAAATTACCCCCCCCTTCCGAAATCGGCGGCGCCGGCCACAGCCCCGGCCCCCCCAACCATCCCGACTCCGAAATGGAGACCCACCCCTACCCCGGCACCCAAAGCCCCATCTGTCCCTCCGGTACATAACACAACACGTCACACCACAAACACAAACACTCACACTACCGCTCCGTCGGTAAAAGCCCCATCTGTCCCTCCGGTACATAACACAACACGTCACACCACAAACACAAACACTCACACTACCGCTCAGTCCGCTCAGTCCTCTCTTGTCGACGATTTATTACTTGTGCTAAACACAATGAATAAATTCGATCTCCAAGAGATCTCTGTGTTGGCCGCCAAATTAAGGCGTGCCAACAACCCGTTAGAACGTTTAACCGCGTTCAGCGAGCACTCAGCGCTGTTGTGCACGTTGCAGATGATAGCTCTCTAAGAGTTAGCATCGGCAACGCGTCAACGGCATTCGCGGCGTCGCCCAGCGTTGCATTCTAGTTAGATTAAATTATTTTTTTTATACTTGCAGTCCTCTTTTCGCCTAAGCTGGCGTGTCAAATTACAATGTCTATAAGGCTTGGATTTGCCACACTGCGTACGGCGGCTAAAAACACTGTTTTTAGCGTTCCCCGGTAGGTGGCGCCACGCAACACTTTACTCGTCCCTTGAACGGGTAAAGTGTTGCGTGGAGCAAACACTAGGCCCCCGATGTACTCTTAACGGCTTGTTTAAGTCGGAACGGAGTTTCCTCTCAGTTAAATGTAATAGCAACGACCGCACTCCCGTCCCTTTTAGGCTACGGCCGACAGCAGTCCCTCTGGCTGTTGTAATGCCCACCCTGTTGCGAGCGGCCTTCCGCAGCTCACCAAACCGATACGGGCGTGCTCCAATAGGGAGCCGCTCGTCAAAGAAGCGCATATGTGCTAGTTATCACTAGGCAGCGCTGCATCGTCCCCTTCTCAGGGGACGATCGCATCCGATGAAGCCTTAAAGGCCTTCCCGGCCAGAGGCAGTCCCAATGGGTGTTTTTTAGTCAGTAAGAGTCTGACATAACAGCCGGCTGCAGGGTATCCATGAGGATTTCTCACCCGCTCCCCCGCCTGGGAGGAAACAAAAAAAAAAAAAAAATATGAATACCTATAACTGTTACTTTAATACAAAAAATAAAGATGTGGTTTTTGGTTCTACTACACCAATGGTCAAGAGATGGCGCTGTAGTCTCCTGAATCGCGCTTTGGTTCCGTTGTTCCAGATTAATAAATACTTTTGATAGGCCTTCACAATGCAGTCGTTAGCACCCACTAAATAGAGATTCTATTTCTATTTTGTTGGTAGATTTTCTTAATGTGCGGTAAACACAAAAGTAACAGCATGAAGTTGGTCGCCAAAGCGACCAACTTCATGCTGTTAATTTTTGTGTTACAGTGATGCGCGCGCATCTTAAAATTTCACTCTCATCATTTTTTCATAACGCGCCTAAAGAAGTATAACTTCAATAAAATGAAAAATATATATGTCTACATCTCAGCGATCCTATGTCAACAAAGTCGTGTTAGTTTAAACACTTATAACTCAAGAATAGCTGGACCGATTTTTATGAGACTTGAATTTTTGGGATCCTCTTCGCCCCGAATAGTAGAATAACTAATATAATATAGGAAAAATCACGAAAAAGGTAATGCAGAAAATCAATATTCATTATATAAATATGGTTAAGTATTCCGCCTTCTTCTACAGTTGGCAGCTCACGTCACACAAGCACAAAGCTTATTTGTACCTACTGCAAGTCTATTACTACAATATAAATAGAAGATGATCACGATGACATGATATTGTAATTTTAAGAAAATACTCTAATCATAAGACAAGTTGCAATACTTGTCAATATTTTGGTAAGGAGATGATGGATATAACTTCAACACTGTACTGAAGTATCAAAATCGCAATTTTCATTTCATTGTAACATAATTTTTACTCTATTTGGTTTAAGTTTCCAAAATTATAGAACTATTCTATAGATTAAGGGATCTCTGTGTTTAGAGTTGTTAAAATTTTGCTGATTCACTATTAAAGTAAAAGTTATTAAAAATTCATTTTCTATAAGTATATTCTTATAAACTATTTAACTTTTTTGTATTTGTTTTCATTGCGGCTGTAAAATCATTCATTTGATTGAGTTTAAAAATTAAAATATAACCACATTCATCGACTTTTGGACGGTACGAAGTTCGCCGGGTCAGCTAGTTAGATATAAAGAAAAGATATAAAGAGATATTATAAGTAAATGTTTTATACGTGATTTTTTTTACCGGACGCCCTCAATATAATTATGGATATTATATTATCTAAATATAATAATACATAATATAATATACTTTGTTAAAATTTAAATTGTATGTCCTAAGATTACCGATTCGATAAATTTTAGGACTAAGTGCTCGTCACTAAAATGAAAATGAAGAACAGTAATTGGTTCTTTCATATTTAGAACTATTTTTTATGAAAATTCGTGGGCGGACAAACGTCAAAACGCACAGCGCGGTACTGAGAGAATAGCGTTGTCTCCTTTTGTCTGGCAATAATTTTCAATACTACTTTCTCTGTCATGCGCTGTCCGATCAGATTTCAATACTTATGACAACGAAGTGAAATTAATTTTATAATTAATGAAATCTAAAAAAGTTATGAGTGAAATGTATCACCATTAGCTTTATTTTTATTTCTAGTATTGTTAGTGCATTTTCGAAAGGCACGCGACGGCATTTTGAGTCATTTTCTCGCAAAAAATTCCTGCGATATTTTAATCACCAACGTCGAGTGTAGACAGATTTCGGTGTGGTCAAACTATGGCAAGGGCATATCTAACGATTCAAATCTTTGAATGTCAATCAACTGCGAACTGATAATTATTTGGAACCTCATTCGAGCACATTATGTAAAATTTGCCTTACACTTTCGCCTTTTGGTCCTGGTATGCCTTGGTCGCCAACCGGGCCTCTTCCACCTTTTGGACCCTGTAATCATAAGAAAGTGATTAGTCAAGACTAAAATGATGTCACACGCTAGTAAACTTCCGGCCAAAGTGACATTTACATTTGTATTATTTGACATTTAATGACAGTCATGTGACGTCACATACTAGTAAGACGCCAAAATGCCCAGAGAAACATTTTCGCGGCAACTTCGAAATTGCATTTCGAATTTAGTTTTAAAGTGAAAACTTCTTAAGCACCGTTCTGATTTGAAACTGGATGAAACGAAAATTTTACAGTACTTGACACAAGGTATTCGTAATTTTGTAACTCTCTGCAAGAGATAGATAGCCGAACGGTAACGTCTTGGGGTCGACACCAAATGATCGGTGGTTCAACCGAGCTCAGCGGTTATTTTTTAATTGTCTTTTTTTCTTTAATTAAGCTATTATTTATTTTTTGACACATTTTAAGTATAGAATAGTTAAGTATTAAACGTTTGATATGTGCCTAAGTTGTTAATTAATACAGACTTAGTTTTTATCAACAATCCTTACCTTTCCAATGTTTGCAATTTTTTAACAGTATTTTTTTATAAACAAATATTTCGAAAAAAATCTAAGAGAAGAAAAACAACAAAGGAAATAAAATAAAAATAGCTGGCCACAAATAAAGCCGCGGGCGGCTGAAGGACTTTTACGTGTTCACATTTTTGTAGCTTTCACTTCTATCGCATGTGAACAGCACATGGCCGTTTTCTTGAACTGAATTACACAACAGAATTAAAAATATCCACGTTTTATGGACTCCATGAACATTATTAGTAAATAAAGTAAGATCATTTTATAAAACTTTTCAAATACCCTATTGAGATAGGTGACCATGTTTTTTCAACACTTATTTGTTCTCGTGAGTACACAAAAACTAATACGCTAGCTTTGTATACAACTAGTGGGCCGCCCTCGCTTCGTTTAGGTGTAAAGCTGTAGTGAAGAGTGTTTTTTCTCAGGCTTGTATTATATACAAATGACATTCTTCTAATACCTAACTACAATAGAAATGCGCCGGCCGCCCGGCCCACCGCCCGTTACCGCCGGAACCGCTTTGTGCCTGCATTTTAAATCTGTAATATCTTCGAAAATATTCATTGCTGTAGAGAACCAAATTGATCTATTAAAAAAACCCGCATCAATATCCGTTGTGTAGTTTTAAAGATCTAAGCATACATACAGACAGCGGGAAGCGACTTTATACTATGTAGTGGTTTGAAGTACATGCGGCATCTACCGATCTATACCTAGGTCTGTGGATCAAACTTAGGTATACACAATCAGGTCATAAGTATTGTCACACAGTAAAAACTTTTCTTTTAGAATGCGGTGCACAAAAAAGTTTATTGAATTCGAATTTCGAATTGTTCATGAATATAAAAATTAAAATGGAGAATTTAAATATGGAGTGGACGCTTAAAGAAGACCGTGTTGCAGTTATTGCGGTGCATTGTTGCGGTTACGCGCTAATTCAAATTTTTGATATACTGAAAAATTTGAATATAACCAAAAAAATCGTTTATCGTACCATCAAACGATACAATGAAGACTCTAGTATAGATGACAGATCAAGAAGTGGTCGCCCTCGGTCTGTTAGATCTCCAGCAGTGATAAAAGTTGTGAAGGCGCGAATTCAAAGAAATCCCAAATGTAAGCAGAAACTGTTGGCCCTTCAGATGGGGTTAAACAGAACCACGGTGAAAAGGGTGTTAAATGAAGACTTAGGGCTTGGGGATATCGAAGAAAAACAGGACACCGTTTGAATGCTCGACTAATGGACCTGAGACTGAAGAGATGCCACGCTTTGTTGAAGCGGTACGCGGGAAAAAATATCGGGAAATTCTTTTTTCGGATGAAAAAAATTTTTACCGTAGAAGAGAGTTATAACAAACAAAATGATAAGGTGTACGCACACAGTAGTGAAGAAGCGAGCAACCGTATTCGGCGTGTCCACCGAGGTCATTTTCCATCCTCGCTCCTGGTATGGTTGGGAGTTTCTTATTGGGGCTTAACAGAGGTACATTTTTGTGAGAAAGGTGTAAAAGTGAATGCCAACTGCATTCGTTTTTACACCTTTCTCACAAAAATGTATCAAAATACAGTCCTGACGAACCTCGTGGAACCTGTTTCTCACATATCATGTTCGATAACAGGCACACAAGACTGGCGGGCGGCGCGTGAAATCGACTTCATCCGGCACGAAGACTGGCCCTCCTCCAGTCCAGATTTGAGTCCGTTAGATTACAAGATATGACAACACTTGGAGGAAAAGGCTTGCTCAAAGCCTCATCCCAATTTGGAGTCACTCAAGACATCCTTGATTAAGGCAGCCGCCGATATTGACATGGACCTCGTTCGTGCTGCGATAGATGGCTGGCCGCGCAGATTAAAGGCCTGTATTCAAAATCACGGAGGTCATTTTGAATTAACTTTATTGTCATAAGAATCTATGTTTTGTCAAGTTCATTTTGGTATATAAATGATTACATAATGCATAAACTTGTTTCAATTATTTTATATAAAACATGTGACAGAATTTATGACCTGACTAGGTATATTTTTTCAGTTAATCAAATTCATCATGATATTAATAGCGTCAAGCACAGGTATCAAAACTTACTGGATCGCCTTTATCTCCTTTTAATCCAGATAGACTTCCAAGAGATCCCTGAAAAGATTTATAAATTAATAACTATAAAAAAAAAATTACAAAATTTTCGGCTTTAGCTCCTAATATCAAAATTCTTGATAATAAATCACTCCGTCTCTTAGGTTCCCCGATTTTTGATGATGCTATTCCTATTTTTATTAATGAACAAATTTCTAAATTCCAGCATTCCTCCGAAAAAATGTTGAAAATTAACCCGCACATGGCTTTATATTTAATTCGTTTTTGTGCGTTCACCCCAAAATTTATATATTTTTTACGAAGCACTCATTTTTGGCTTTTTCCAGGACAGCTGGCAATTATTGACAATTCGCTCAGAGAGACACTCTCCAAAATTTTAAACTGTTCATTTTCAGATAACGCTTGGAAGCAGGCCTCTCTCCCTGTTCGTTTCGGAGGTCTAGGTACTCGTCATATTTCCCATATTGCCCTTCTCGCTTTTCTATCTTCTGCATATGGTACAGCCGAGCTCTTCAGTAAAATACTATGCCCGTCTTTGGGTGAAGTGGAGTTGGCTCACCTTGCAGAGGCTAGAAACGCTTGGTCTAGGGCATGCCCGGGAGTGGATCCACCAACCTCTCTATCTTCTCAGAGACAGTGGGACGAGCCGCTCTGTTTGCGTTTTCAGAGTGATCTTTTAGCTTCTTCTGAAAACGTCACTGAGCGTGCTCGACTACTAGCGGTCTTTCAGGCAGAGTCTGGCTACTGGCTGCAAGCTTTACCTTCAGCCAGTATCGGGACTTTGCTTGACAAGAGCACTCTGTCTCTGGAATATCGCTTCGACTTGGTGTCAAGACGAATCATCCCCACCGTTGTCGTTGCGGTGCTCGCGTCGGTGAGTTGGGTCACCATAGTCTTTCATGCCAAATGAGCGCTGGCCGAGTCTCCCGCCACGCCTGCATCAATGACGTCATCCGCAGAGCTCTTGTCGCAGTCAACGTGCCAGCGGTCCTTGAGCCTAGCGGCATCTTTCGTGACGATGGCAAGAGACCTGACGGAATGACGCTCATTCCGTGGAAGCAGGGTCGCCCTCTTGTATGGGACGCAACTTGCGCGGATACGCTTGCTCCGTGCCACACAGAGAACACCTCCTTTGCTGCGGGTGCGGCGGCGGACTCTGCTGAATACTCTAAACGGCGCAAATATTCAGCTCTCAATGAGAACTATATATTTGTGCCGTTTGGTGTTGAGACCATGGGCCCATGGGGTCCAAGCGCTCGTTCCTTTTTTAGGGAAATATCAAAGAGACTCACCGAAGTTACTGGTGATCAAAAGGCTGGCAGCTATCTTGGTCAACGGATCAGCCTTGCCATTCAACGTGGCAATGCTGCTAGCCTATTGGGCACCATCCCTGACGGCGGCGATGGGGGTGACTTATTTTTTATTTTGTAAATAGGATGTTATTTATAAGTAGGTTTAGGAAATTTGTATTTAAATATTATTTATTTCTGTACATATATAATTAAAAAATATTACTATAACATATATTTATTTTAAATTAATGACTGACATTTTATCTTATTTTTTTTTACTGATTTTACTTGCTTCCGGTATGTGAGGTCTAAACCTGGATCTTTCGCTGCATGAGCGAACGCTATCGGGGTAAATAATTGTAATGCGGCCATGCCAAACATGGTATTAAAATTTACTCCATTTAAATATGTATTAAGATGAACAACGCACGAGTTTCCTATAGGTTACACATGCGGTTCGTTGCTCGTGCATTGTTCACCTTAACAAAATTTGATAAAAAAAGACCGCGAAAAAAAAATATATTTACCTTCTTTAATTCGCATGCACCTGAAAAAAAACGGTAGTTTAATTTTTGTGTTAAATCATAGATATAAATTGAATGAATATACTAGCTACTATCGATATGGTAAACTATTCCAGGAAAATATTAGTTATTTTTGTTTGCTCTTCGAAAGGAATAAGTCGGAGTCCTAAAAAATGGTGTCCGTGTAATCATCATCAACTCATTGACTTCCTAAGGTCGCGGCCACACTACTAGAGCGACTGCGCCGCGGCGGCCATTTTGTGAAAACAAACTCAATAAATACAATAATAAGTTGATGATTATCTAAATGATCGTAATGCATGGACATAGTGTTTCTTATAATTTGATATTAAATGGGTATTACTCATTTTTCATAACAGTAATATTGTACCTATCTAATGCCGCTTCCTATATACTACTTAAAATGTTAACTATAAAATTAATTGTAACTACATATTTATATTCTAGATGATGTAATGGAAAGTGACTTCAGACGTATTTCTGAAGTAATTTTTCAACTTGACGACACTGTATATAACAATACAGGGAGAAAAAAACAGCCCTTGCTGAGTTTCTTGCCGGTTCTTCTCAGTACAAGGTCTCCCGCCGTAGTTTTGCTAATCGATGGCGTAGCTTCTTGACCTTCACAAGTGCTTGTAACAGCCTAGACTGAATAAATGAAATTTCATTTCATTTCAAATATGACGATGGCCGCGCTGCTGAAATTTCTTCAAGGCCACAATGGGAGGAAGGAGATCGATGGCGCAGGTGGTTAGCGATATGAAGCAACTTTTACAATGATGGGGCATGAGATGGGTGACCAAAAAGTTTTAATATTGAGCTCCTCCGTGCTTGAAGGCATGTTAGACCGTTGGTCTCGGCTGCATCTGCAGACGTTAGCACCAATCCATATTTGGCACGCGAGCTATTTCGGCCCAATATGCCTATAAAATCCATAGGGAAGGCCTGTGCCTCAGTGGGCACATTAATAGGCTGATAATGATGATTCTTGTAAAGCGACCAAGTAGGTCGTTATGGCAACGCATGTACCTACACACTGTCAGATATACTACTGCTGAGTACCAGCCTCAGTACTGCGCAGAAGAATGAAACGATGAAAAGATAAATCTATTTACTCACTCAACGACACTGAACACATTTTGTCGACATCTTTGATACTCTGAAAAAAAAAAAAAATTAATGTTTGTGATGTTCACTTTCTATATATGTTTCTGTTTTAGCTTTTCATATCGTTCGTAGGTTGGGGGGCCAAAAATTTATTATACAGAACTCCACCGTGCTTAGAAGGAATACGTTTTACAGAAGTCGTTTGCGTTGAGACTGCAGTCATCGCCCGTTCTCCCTATCTGTCTATGGTCTTAGCATAGCTTGCTTCACAGTGACATAAAATCAATGTTGCATCAACAGGAATTACTATTAATATCTTACTATTAATTATGAAAGTTTAATAGGGTTTTTTTAGGTTTATGTTTTGCATAATTAATGGATTAATTCTTGTTGCAACAGAAAATTACTAGCTGACTTGGCAAACTTCGTACCGCCCAAAAGTAATTATTTGCAATAAAATAATATTGCGACTATAAATTTAGATGTAAGCTATGCAGTTTTTAAGTTTAATCAAAGTGCACACGGTGTGCGAATTTGATTAAAATCGGTTTAGTAGTTTAGGAGTCCATCCCAGACAAACAACGTGACGCGGAATTTATATACCTATACTAAGATTTTTCTATTTATATTTAAGATAATTCTTGAGAGCTTAAAATACATGTGTTACAACACAACATATTTTACTAATGTTGGTTTATCTAAAAATATCTTGAAACTCAAAAATCCACCTGTATTGTAGGTTGATATTACAACCAACAATTTTAAGGAACCTACCTTCACGTACAATCAATGTTTTTGTTTTCAAAATAGTCTCGAATTACTGTAACGTTTCGTCTACTACGGGAAACATCCCTTTCTAACATTACTGATTTACATAACAGTAACTTGACTGATTTTATACCATGCTAGCGCTCCGTCCCGGCTTCACACGGCTGTATTTAATACTATGGAAACATAATGAATCAGCAATAACCTGATTTTTCATCTTAGTAAAAAGTTTCTAAGTAATTAATTAATTAATAAGGTCGAGTATATTAAATCTATTTGGCCATGGGCATGGCCATCCTGATTTTTCTGTTTAGCAAAGAGTTTGTTTTAGGCATATAGGTTGAATATCTTTTTATCCCGGAATTCCCAAGCGAACGGAAAATTTGCGGTTAAAGCCGCGGGGCGCAGCTAGTAATAACATATTACAGCAAATTTGCTGAATATATTTTATAGCTAACTTGCTATCCTTATTTCTCGTCGTAGAGATCGAATTTCAAAATAGATGAAACGCTTTTTTTTAAGTTTCAGTTTAGTATATCTAAGCCTAGTTTCAAAGCTGTCAAGCTAGCCAAACTTGTTTTTCTAAACAAACTTTGAACCCCTATATCACCTAATTCACGGTGGAATATTCAAAAATCCTTTCTCGTTGATGCCTACGTCGTTTAAACAACCTTTTTACTAAATATCATGTCTCTGCGACCAAAAATGTATGCGTGCGTTGATGCACAATTTAAAAATTCAACAAGCTCTATCGTTGTTTTATGAGGGTAGTTTAGAAAAACGCAGATAGCATTTTTATTTAGTACAGAGTAGGTGTCCATAATTTTAATCAATCCTATGCACTTTTGGATGATCTCCAATACAAATTGTGACACGAAATTTTGTAATTTTTTGAGGGTAGTTGTAAAAATTTTATAGTAACAGGCTTAGTGTATATCTGTTAAATAATGTTTATGCATTTGCAGTCAATAGGTCCAACAGGTAGGATAAGATTTTACGAACAAACGTTTTTTTTGCAAATTACACGCATATAGGCTGAATTTCAAAAAATCCCATTTTATTACTTGTTTAGGCAATAATAGAAACCCACTGTCCAAATTTCATCATTCCAGATCCAGCCATTTCGGCTGCGCGTTGCGTTGTTGAGTCAGTCAGTCAGTGTATCCTTTTCTCTTTTTATATAATAGTATAGATATAAGAACAGCAGTGTTATTCTGCATGAACAAACTCACATTTCACCGCGATATCCGCTGGTGTGTTTTGAAATTTATATTGAAATTCGTGTTCTAATTTTAAATCACACCGCAGATTCCGGGGTGAAAAGTGAGATGGGTTTTTACACAATAGCACTGCGGTAATGACTTTTGTATAAATGCTAGTATTCATCATACAAACATTTCCCCTGCTGCAATTTAACCCAGGACCTATAAGTAGTGTTCATATCACTCTAGCACGAAAGTCTTCAGAAGTAACAGATATAATGAGTAATATACACTTCTGGACACATCTATTGGCCCACCTTAGAGTTTAGGTTTCGATGGCCCCTACCGAAATATGATTGCTAAATTGAACAAAAACTGTTGATGCAGTTTTAAACCTGATACATTTTACCATCTTTTTCGATCGTATTGTATTAAATTTGAATTCAGAATACCATACGACATGGAGCTACGCCTAACAAGTCGGATATGCGCTTTGTTAAAGGCAATTGATTTTTGAATAAAAAACATGTTTTATCAAATAAAGGTTTAATTTAATAACGCGTGTTGCCTCCATGGGCATCTACCACAGCTCTCATACGATTAGGCATAGAGTTTATCAACCGCTCTATGAAATTTTGAGGGATCATCTCCCATTCCTCTTCTATGGCAGTTTTCAACTCCTGCATCGTCTGGGCAACTGGCTGACGAGCCCTAATACGTCTTTTTAGCTCGTCCCACATGTGCTCAATGGGGTTCATGTCTGGGCTTCTGGCTGGCCAGTCCATAACTGTGATGTTCACATCCCGAAGATATTCCCTGACGATGCCGGCCGCATGGGCTCTTGCATTATCATGCATAAAAAGGAAATTTGGGCCCACATAGTCCGCGTATGGTATCACGTGAGGTTCTAAGTACTCACGAATGTACCTTTCAGCATTTAATGTTGGCAGCCGTGGTCCTGTAACAACCTCAAGTTGAGTTTTGCCTCTCGCGGATATACCGCCCAAGACAGTCCATGAGCCACCGCCATAAGCAACCCTCTCTTCAAAGCAGCATTGTGCGAAACGCTCTCCCTTACGTCGGTAGACCTTCTTCCTTCCATCATTGCCATGTAACACAATTTTAGACTCATCAGAAAAGAGTACATGGCTCCAATCTTGCTGTGTCCAATTTAAATGACTGCGTGCGAAATAAAGGCGCGCTGTTCGGTGGGCTCGCGTTAGTTTGGGCCCATTAGCTGGCTTGTGTGGTACCATATCGCGTTCTTTTATAACCTTCTCCGAACAGTTCGAGCGCTCACAGATACTCCGTGGAAGTCGCGAATTTGTTTTTGTATCTCAATGGAGGTAAGGTGACGATTTCTCAAGCTGGTCGTCACGATGAATCGATCCTGCCTTTCAGTTGTGACCCGAGATCGTGGCCTTCCTTGGCGACGAACAAAGCCGCCAGTCTCTAGGTACCTCTGATAAACATTTCGGACCGCAGATCGACTTAAATTAAGTTGAGCACTCACGTTTCTTTGGCTGTGTCCGGCCTGAATAAGTGCCACAGCTTGGGCGGCGACTTCAGGTGAAGTATCCATAGATTATTGATAGAACCTGACCTTAATGTTAAGAATAAGTAATGTTTGTTGCAAAACCAAAGATATCAATCACTTTTTCAAAAATTAAATCCAAGTAAACCGATAAAACCAAGTTTTCTTAGTATTCGATTGTTTGATATCAACAAACAGGCTCCAAATTGTCTTTTGTTTCTTTAAATTCTGTGTTCGAAATTCAAAAAAAGACTATTGAATGAAATTGTGAATGTGCCAGGTTCAAAACTGCATAAAAACTTTTTGCTCGACCTAATATAAAATTTTAGCTAAGACCAAACGAATCTAAAAATACAAGGTGGGCCAATAGATGTGTCCAGAAGTGTATTTCCTCATTATTTCGAGTCACAATCGAGATGATTAAAACCTTTTCACGTTAAAATAAAATTACTGCGTTTATTTAATGTTGTATTTTGTACTTACTGTTACGTCATCTGTGGCAACTGCAAAGCAGGTTTCCTTTACTGTAACGATAAAATGATTTTAATGTAAAATATTCATAACCATATGTATCATAATATCATGAACAGGTAAAGTATTTAAGATTCATTAATTTTAATTAAAACAATGGAATACATTTTCCTCTTTTTATCATTCAGGGATAAAATAATTTGGTTTTTTTTAAATAGTTTTATCAAGTCTTTTTTTATTTTTCTTATCGTGTAGTACCTACTCAGTAAATGAAACAAAATGATCTTGTTATAAGTAGGTGAAAAAAAATATTAATGCGAAATACAAACTGTAGTAGGTACTTTTTTGGATGCATTTCTTTGTGAGCTCACAATTACAATGTGACTGTTTTTATACGGGGTTAGGTTAGAAAATATTTAGTTTACAAGAACAGGTACGACAGTGTACAGGAGTTACTTAAATGTTGTATTATAAACATTCATGACGCAAAGTAAAGTAAATCGGCAGACAGAGAAATTATTAAAAGAGTGAAAAATTTTACATCACAACAAATGTTGATCACATTTTCAACATTTGTTTAATTAAGTTTTAAAAAAAACTTGTACTGTTCCGTTTTAATTGTAGTCTGTGTTTAATTATTAAAAAAGGAAATGTAAAATTACATGGTTTGTCTTTCATTTAAAAGACTGTGTTATTTATGGAAACATTATCCTTATGATTAACCCTTTCGACAGTTATCATAAAACACGTGTTTTTTTTTGCTTCACAATTCACGAGTTTGAATCCCGGTTGTGGCAGAATGCGAATGCAGTTCTGCTTATTAATGAAAATAAAATGTTATTTTCTTTCAGTAAAATATTCTATCTTTAATTTTCAATATACTTTGGTGGTTTACCTGTAGGCATATTCTTAACAACTGTTTAAAGTCAGAAAATAATGAATGGCGTGTTTTTTTTTAATTTCATAAGTATGGAAATACCAATGTATTTATATATTAATTACAAATGTTTACTTTCAAACGTTGCTGCCGCTGCACCAACTAACCACAAATTACTGACTCCGTTTCTTTTTTAAAGCGAGGTAGGCAAATGACTCTACCCCACCTGATGTTAAGTGGTGTTTGTATGTCACCAGGCTGTATCTCATGAACTTTAATAGCTAGACAGTTGAAATTTTTACAGATGATGGTATTTTTGCCGCTATAACGAAAGATTCTGAAAGTAGAATAAAATAAATATTTAAGGAGGCTCCCATACAACAAACGTACTATTTGACATTTTTGCTCTATATTTATAATGGCAACAGGAAGAAGCTTAACTTAGCTGAAAGAAATATTCACATATTATTTAGTTATAATATATTCACTTTATAAATAAATTAATATATTAAATTATTATTTATTTCATTAACCGTTTGATTTGATTTGCCGTTTTTTGTTCGATATTATAATATAGTTATGTCCGTCTATCTGTCTGTCCAACAGTATCTAATGTTGTATACATAATGGTACCATTCGTGGCGGCACTTGTTGAGGATTTTTTTTAAGTTCTTATATTTTCAAAATAAGCTTATGCAAGTTCATGGAATCAAATCACAACTGACGAAAATGCAACAATTTAATTTGAAATAACATAAATATAAAAAAAAAAACAAGAAAATTTTACTAGTGTAAATTCCGCGTGACTTAGATTTAAACATCGACCATTTAAATGCTTAAAAAATAACAATGCGAAAGGATGGTGCTGCCTTGCAGCCTAGGAAATACCAGAAGTAATTCGACGCGGTTATTAAGGCCGCGGTAGTGTTTAGTGGTCAGTCCATCTACCCAGATAACGGAGGGTGCAGGTTCGAGTCCCGTCGGTTGTTTGTTCGCGTGCAATTTTTCATCGTAAAATTTTCTTTAGTTTTAAACATCTAGAAGGTAAAAAAATGGATGAAAAATATAAATAACTTACCAATTAAAATAATTACAACACTTTTAGTGTATATTTCAAACAACATTGTGGCTATTCGTATTGGAATATTGATTGTAACTAACCGTTTTTTCCTATAGCTAACTTATTTATAATTTTCCTTGTTTGTGGTGTTATACAGGGTGTAGAAAACCTATGACAAAGACTTCAACTACGCATTCTGTACACCCAAACAAGTAATATTACAAAATATTATAGGTGGGAAAAATTTGTATTTTTAAGTTATAATTTTTTTTTTCCATTACGTAATGTATAGCGCGGCGCGCTACTGTGGCGCTACGCAAAGAATGTGCCTGTGTGTGTGCGTGTGTCTAAATGCGTCGATAAAAAAATGTCTAAATAACGTCTTGAAAATACTAATGTATAAATCTTGAAAAAAATAGTTTGGGTTTGACCTTCAATATCTCCATAACCATAAATTTCCCAGGTATGGTCCAGAAGAAAAAAATGATCGTCATGATATGGAAAATACGCGGCCTTCAACTTCGTTATATTTTTTTTTACATCCTGTATATACAGTGGCGGTCATATAATTAAAGATAATTATAAAATGCACACATTACCTAAAATTTAGGTACATTAAAGGATTTTGTTAGTTGTTTTAATCACACTTATATTATAAAGGCGAAGGTTTGTGAGTGTGTCAGTATTTACGTTTGTTACTTTTTCACGTCTAAACGGCTGGAGCGATTTTTATAAATTTGGTATGGAGTTAGCTGACACCCTGGATTAACACATAGGCTACGTTTTACTGCGGGAAAATTTCCCTATTAAACCGCGGGGCACAGCTAGCATAAAATAATATAATAATTTCGCTGCTGTGTAAGTTTGGTAGGTAAAGGAGATTGCTCAAATTGGCCTAAATGCACAAAAAATATTGACATACACGGTAATTCTTGGCGTAATTTATAATTTAATTTACAGTCATTAGATTTCAACGGACACCTTTGTATAATATATTTACTTTAAAGAGGACTTTTAATTTTACAGGTTTGGAAAACATACGAATCATTTTTAATGGCTATGGGTGTAGTAACATTCAGCCAAAGACTGATCGAAGTTGTTTATATAACATAAAAACAAATCTATTTTGTAAAGATCGATAAAATAAATCATATTTTTTATTACACTGCGGTATTAATATCCACAACTATATTATCATTTTCACTAGATGCAAATGTGCTCAGACAATTATTATAGATGGTAGGCGACATCATAAAGTCTATTACCATACATTTTTCGCCAAACACCTCCATAAGCATAGCCTCCATAGCTGTATATATAAAAAAAAAAATATGTTAGACTTTAAGGTATCTATCTAATGCTCTAAGATCTATGGGCTTACGTTCCCTGACTATAAATTAATAATTAAATAAAATTATAAGGTGTGATACACTAAAAGTCACAAATATGGTTAGCTTAAAAACATAACAAAAATAATGAAGCTACTGAATATATGGCTATAGAACCTAAATCTCTTAGCTTTATTTGGTTAACGAGAGTTTAAAATTCTTTCTAATCTGTGGCTCATTCATAATCATCACACAGTTTCTGTCACAGAGTACCTTATTATAACCGGAAATGACACCTGATTTTAAAAGTTACTCTTATGCATTAACTTTAAAAACATGGCAACTATCTGTTAATCTACATGCTCTATATACCTGAATCTAATCCATACTTTCGGTACTTGGCTTGATTTCCCTAGTTTACTTTATAACTTATTTGTTTTTTATTATTTTAATATGTTCAGTGTATATGGTTTATAGAAGTTCTCAGGGGTGTCCGTGAATAATATTCGTGTCTACAGTAATTTATATATAATTTCGAATCTAGGAAACAATTTTTCATGATTATTGGTCTTTAGGTCAAACATGTATGGAAGCTGAGCAATCTCCTTTGTTTAAACATTCTATTATTTTTTTATTATAGATAGGTCCGACAAATGACGCCACCCCACCTGATGATAAGTGAAGGTGAAGTCCAGACACGAAGATAGCTGATACAGCAGTTCTACCTGCCACACCAGCCATCCTCACTCTGCCAGCCTGCATGTTGCTTCTTCTCGCCTCTTTTAAAGGATCCCAGGTTCTAAGAGGGAGGGAACACGTGAGCGGGCAGAGCATTCCATTTACGGATAGTGCGACAAAGATATGAGTCACCAAACTTATTTGTACGCGTTGGAATTGTGGCGACTGTTAGACGGTGACAACGTAGGCCACCGCCCGTGGTCCTCTGAAGGAAAGTGGAAGGTGGAATAAGAGATATGATAAAATAAATGAAAGATAAAATAATATTGGCTAATACCTAATCAAAGAAAAGGAAAATAAATAATAGAACATACAGAAATGTTATCAAAACTGTAATTCATATTAATGACAAAGAATTTCAAAATGTATTTAATAAAATAACAAGTTTTTTTAATATTTAGTTACATGCCCTTTGGACTCAGGCCGCCACCGCCGTCATTAACAGGAAAGTCACGAACTATAAGATACGCATAATATCTGATAGTATGGCTGTCCTAAGAGCCCTAGACAGTAACAGCAAAACTTTTGGGCTAGTATACGAATGTCACCTAATATTGGAGCGAATAGCAAAAGAGAACAAGGTTACCCTCGAATGGATCAAGGGACGCAGCGGCTCTATGGGTAATGACGCAGCCGACGTACTGGCTAAAAGGGGATCAGCACATATAGTGGAAGGCCCTGAGCCGCTCCTGCCGTTACCCTTTAACCAAATTCGTGCATGGGTGCGCCAGCAAACCATACAGAGCCACAACATCCGCTGGGCCAATACCGAGGGCTGCAGGCAATCTAAGGCTATCTTCCCTAGCCTCAACCCAAGACTAACTAACTCATTTTGTTGGCGGTTTCTATTGAAATTTGCTCCCACGCTTTTGTAAAAGCTTCGTAAAGTTAATGAATATTGAATGTTTCATTGCTACTGATTTCTTCATTTGAAACCACTTCCATAACCCCACGGAGTAGGAGAACAATTAAGAAGTATAATACTACAGAAAATGTACCTAGAAAAGTCAGACCTAGGAAGAACAACCTCTTGTAGTGACCCAGGAATTGTTTTTTTAGCGAAAAAAGAACCGTTTAAAGACTTAGAGCTTATTCGGGTAGACATTTTTGGTGAAAGAGGATCAGGAGAGGTTCTGCAAGAACCATAAGCAGGCGTTCGTTTGAGGTAAACTTGTTTGGGAGGGTGTCTTGTAAGGTACCTCTGTTGGAAAAACAACCTGAGAATATACAGGATAGTTCTGCGCCTGCACTCTTCTGCCAATCTGACTTCATCATAAAGCGAAAGCAGTAAAATAAAAATTAATATTCATTTATTTAGTTTAGGCTTTTACAAGCACATGTAAATCTACGGCGCAAATCTACGGCGGGAAACCTTGTACTGAGAAGAACCGGCAAGAAACTCAGTAAGGGCTGTTTTTTTCTCCCTGTATTATTTTTTTACAGTGTCGTCAAATTGAAAACTGACATCAAACTTATTAACATGTTTTTTGGTCAACTTCCATCACATAATGCAAAATAGGTTACAATAAATGTACAAAAGTTACCACCAGTACTTGTCTGAAACGCATAGTTTAATGTCTCCTGTAGATAGGAGAATATGATAAAGTTATATTAAAGCCGAAGGGAGAAACTTTGTAAGTTAATTCATAGAAGAAATTCCCAATATCTCTAAAACATGAAATTGTATACAAGTTGGGTAGGGTAACTGATCCCCTACATGTAAAATGCGGATAATTTTTTTTCATCATCTACACCATCGTGTGGGATATCGTTGAATAGCTCCTTTGAAATGACTCAGGGGTTGCTAAGAATACTTTTCGATTTAGGTTATCCGTTTGCGAAATATTAGATCTTTAAATCTGTAAATTTTTGGTCGAGTAGGCCCCATCTTCAAGTATTTTTTTTAAATCTAATAAGCTTGAAAACATAAAAATAGAACATGATAATAGTAATATTATATATAAACACATTAAAAGTATATTAGATGAAGTGGTTGCTTTTTTGTAACGCGTAAAATTTTGCATTTAAAAACAATACCTAAAAAAACTAAATCATAACCAGCAATAAAATGTCTACAGAATCCTACACTGCGCGTGGCACATAGAGGAAAGGATAAAATAGATAGACGAGTTTATATTCTGAATATTAGTGTAGTCTGGTTTAATTCTGCGCACAAATCGATCCAATAAGAATCTAAACTTTACGTTCTATGAAAGGTTGTTCACGAATCTATCGCGAGAATGAAAAATTTCACCTCATTTTTTAAGAAATATATCCTGTTTGTAAAGGCCTCATTAACTTTTTAAAATTTGATGATCTCTGTCGTGGAATATCGTATATTGGTTTTCTTTGACTTTGCTTTTGCCTACCTATCTCACACTATCTTTTTTGTACTCACGACATGTGGAGATCAATTCCGTAGACAGGTGCGTGAAAATTATCTATTTCCTACATTTGTTTTGTTAACGCAGGCAAGACCTCTGTTTACAGACGACGGCGCCTTTAAAAGGCACACCGCCGAACGGACCTCACACCTGGCTCCCGCAAGCTTTACGTGCCCCTGCAATGGCTGCCCACTAAGGACCCCGTAACTCTTACGGGCGCTTTACGGCATAATATCCGCTAAAAAACCTTGCGAATACCCTCTAAGCTGCTTAGTGCGAAGCCACGGGATCCCCGTTTAGGGATTCTTCTGCGTTTCCGCACCCAGCAGTCTCCCGGACTAGCCGGGGCTCCACGGCAGGGGCTCCCGGGGTATCGCGGGGACCCCGCAGACGTGCGCGGGTAGGCCCGCGCTGGGAGTTAAGTGTGCGGCCTAGTGCCCACCACACCGTTCCCCGTCTGCCTGGGCGTGATCTATTTCCTACTTCTCTTGGGCCTTTCAAAATATCCGGAGAGGTATAACTTTAAACCTTATTTAGAGTTTAAAGGTTTCAACCAATTAAATCTAATACAGAAACAATTTTCATAAATAACCCAAACAGAAAACTATAGGACTTTTTTACAAATGTTG